CCTGGCCAGTTGGAGGCACATCCTGCGATTAACCGGACTGTGTAAAGAGGGGCCGGATCACAGACCCAAGGATTAGTCTAGAATAGGACACCTTGTAAAAAAAAAAAAAAGTCTTAAATCTACACTTTAGGGACACCTATCTGACCTCACATTTCAACTTTCTTATATGGGGACCACATTTGCAACGTTAAAAAATTCGAACGTTAGAGCAAATCAAATTCAACCGTTGCCCAAAACCTACGGCTATAAATACTTGATCTTCATATCTCCCCTACCACTCAGTGGTACCTCTCTCACACTACAGTTCTCAGCTTCTCTCTCCCTCTTTCTCTGCATATCAATTTTTCTTCTCTTCTCAAACTAATCAAATGGCAATTTTCGGAATTTCAAGAGCTGCTGTTACCATCTTCGTCGTGTTATGCCTAGCAGCCTTTCATGTGAGGGCACGGGATGCTGATTTTGCGCCGGCTCTGGCACCGGCACCGGGGCCAGATACCGGAGCTGGGTTATCGCTAGGTGTATCGGGCACCTTCATTTGCTCTTCGTTGCTCCTGTCAGTCATTGGGATTCTCGTGCAGTAGATATCCATGGTTTTGGAAGATTGAGAAGCTGAAAATGATGAGAGAGAAATAATAGTATATAGAATATACTCGACATTGATTCTTACTATGGCAATGATTATTATTCTATTAATTGATTTAATTATCGGCGTTTGTTAATCTTGTGTTCTTCCTAACGTTTGGTTAGGGTTTTGATTTGGCTGTGAGTGGATTTTTTGATGAATAAAATTTACTATATATTAATTTTCACTGGATCAATTTATTTGTTGTTTTTCTTATTTGCTTTGCAAATGTTAGCTTTCATCATAAAAATGAAAAAAATTAAATAAGTTGAAATGAAGACTATTGATATTTACCAAATTTTTGTCAATTTACCGAACGTGCTGTACGAGATCACTTGCGTGCAAAAAGCTGACGTATACGTAGATTTTCCTTCAAAGTTGTTTTGCGTTCGATTATTTGTTTAAGATTGCAAAGCCTGACCCTGCAAAGCATCCCCTCCATTCCAGGACAATCTTTATATTGCAGGATTATAATATTTTTACAAGAATATTTCATGTTAAACTAAAACTTAAGTCATATTTTACTGTTTGCTAATAAAACACCGCAAGTGCGCAGGTCGCGTACAAGTAATAAAGTGGACCTTTTGAGTCCCAATTGTCGATCCCTCGAAAAATGTTTACGAAGATTAACAAATCTAATTAATTTAATTCTAACAATAAAAATAAACACACACAATTAAAGATTTGATTTTAAATAATGAAATTAGCTAAAAACCTACAAAATAAGAAAATGTAAAAATATTGGAAATTTCGAAAGCAAGCATGGTTGGAATTCATGGTTTCGCTTAACCGTCACCTAATTAATTTCTCCACAAGCCAATTAACGAATTATTCATTTACTATACTCAATCTTCCAATTTTAGTTACTTACCTCTCTCAAGCAAAATTAACTCTACTTGATTGGTTTAACCTACTATATCTCTATGTCGATTAAAACCAAACAACCGCCTTAAATCTCTGTGAAAATAACTCAATGGGTCACTTAGAGTTAGGGGTATATCTCTATCCCCTATACAAACATAAAGTTTATACTATTTGATCTAAAATGCACAATCTTCTCTCGAACGATGTACAAATCACTTGACATAATCATTCATTAGCCACATAAATAAAATGCAATAGTAGAAACACGTGAAAATAAGTAACTTAATATTAAAGACCAAATATCAAAATTAATTAAAAGCTAGGTTAAACTAATACCATAAATCTCAATACAAATATTTAGCCCATGTTAAATATATGATAAAAAGGAGAATGTTTTATACAATACATTACAAGTTTGACAAAATAATGGAAAAAAATACAAGGTATAGATAAAACCACCTTTTGAGCTTGCTCTTGATTTTCCCAAAACCTTGCTAAATCCTTAATGAATCTCCTTGTGCTCTAGATTGTGCCTCCAAAATACCAAGGAAAGGAAAAGAAAAGGAAGAGAAAAGAAAGGAGAAAAGAGAATAGAAAGAAAGAAAATAAAGGAGGAAGAAGATCTAGCCCCGAAAACCTAGAATCCCTTAAAAAATGACCAAAAATCGGTATTTAAATGGCCAAAATTGTGTCAAGTGAAATTGTGAAAGAAGTCCCGAAATTTACGTGAAATAGGCAAAAGTCGCCCAGTCGGAAAGCTGCGCGCGAGCGGGGCATTGGTCTTGCATGCGCACCATAATAAGCCTATGCACGAGCGGGGGCTTTCTTCATTTCTTTTTCCAACTTAGTCTTCCATTTAAATGCACACAAAGCTCCTCAACTTTGATCATGTACAATCTAGTCCTCAAAATTTGATTTTCATATCACTTTTGCCCTCTAAGATTGCAACCTTAGGTCCCCAACTTTTGGTACTTGTGCGCTTTGGTCCCCAACTTCACATTTTTGTGCGTTTTTTGTCATTTTCACTTCCTTTTGCCTTGTTCTCTTCCCTTGGGTGATTTTTGACCTACAAAAGCAAATATTACATAATTATGAGTAGAATTCCATTCATTTAATCAATAAATAACATATTTAGATATTAAATAAGTGTGTAAAAACACACTTATCATTTACTGTAATCCCATTTTCCATGACTAGTTAAAAATACAATTCTTTTTGTCATGGTTAGGATTGTATACTTCATTGGGTGTAAAGGGATTCGAACACAAAATACGTTTGCTGCAAAATTTGATTTCAATTTATGTTTCATGTTTGTTTTGTCAAATACTACGAACAATACACACGACACTCGCATTCTGACTCGAGCAATTCATGGTCCATACATTTTTCGAACCCAAAGCCTGAAAAGTACTATCTAGTTGACTCCAATTTGTTCATTGACTAAGTTACATGATATATACCCTACTACAGAGGATCCAATATAGGATACCACCCCAACAGTTCTATGAAGGGACTATAGTCGTAGGTGTAGATTTCAGAATGCTCGATTGAGGTTCAACTTCAATCATGTAGAAATGTGATTGAACATGTCTTTTGTGTCGGAAACAAAGATGAAAAAGTTTAGGAACCCTGCTATAGAGATAGGGCCAAATGACAAGCGCTTAAAGAGGGGGCTGAGGTTGGCCCTGTTTGAATGGCAAAGCCCAAAGTTTAGACAGTTTGCTATGCTATTTTTTTAGAGTGTAAACATCAGTGATTGCCAAAAAAATGATGATTCACAACTTTCTCAAAAGGGATCGAAGTTGTTGACAAGGGCTTAAGAGATTTGACGCGGACAAAGATAAAATAGAGCTTTCACATGAAGAAGATGAAATGGAAGCCGAGATGAATGCACCTCAAATGTAATGTACCAGCTCGACTTTGCAATTATATGGTTAAGCAATCGTGATGAATATTTGTACGTAGGCTATGTAATTCCAATCGATATCCCTTTTTTCTTTTCTTCTTTTGTTAACCAATATATCAATATTCAAAATTCTATCTGATAGAAAAATTCTTGAATGGTGCTAAAACTTTTATGTCCCAAAATTTTTGAATTTACCCCTTTTTTTAGAAATTTTTTTGCTTCCAAAAAATTGTCCCTTTCATTTAACGTAAAGGAACCACGTGTTTTTTCTATGTCAAGTTTAGTCAAACACGCTTTTGTTTCAAATGGGGACCACATTAGAATGAATCTTACAAAAATAAATAAATAATATTATCTAAAATCAGTTTGTGTCATTATATGATATGTTCAATTAAAGGTGAATTTATGCATATTCACTGAATTGTACCTTTTATCTAATGACAATTAGTGTCATTCAAATTGATATTGTAACATCAATAATGTCAAATAACATTACACAACAAAAAATAATTTCACAAGCATCACCATTAGGGAAAGGACAAAACAGACTTCGTCATTGAAGTCGCTATTTTTGAAAATTATTATGTCTCTATCATAGTTAGGGCCTGTTTGGTAAGAATTTTGAGAACTGATTTTTTGATCGTTAGGAAAAAGTGGGAGGTCACTTGTGAGAGAAGAAATCAAAAATTACGGCAGGAATAATAAAATAACGATCAAAAAATCAATTTTTTGAGATGAAAAATCACTCCCAGACGGGGCCTTAGCCATTTATTTTGCATTAAAGAAACATGAAGAAGTTGAACCCACCTGAGTGTTTAAAAATCGAAATTTTTGAGTTCAAAAGAGCGTCCACAGGCGCATTTATAAAATGAGCAATGATATTAGTATCATTAATATTTAACACTAATCTTTAGATGATGGTACTAATGATACTAAATTATAAACTCAATTAAATATAAAAAATTACAATACATTTAATATGACTTATGATATGTTGATACGGAAACTAGAGTTCAAAATCACTAATGCTAAATAGCGTTGTTCATATGAAAAGCAAGACATGTGATGCACATGCATGTCATTGTTGGTGGTGTGTTGAATTAGCATGTTTAAAACATTAGTACAAATTAATATTAATTTCTTTTGTTAAATAAATGGTTTGTAAAGAGAAATGGTAATGGATCACGAAAATATGCGGATGATAATAAATAATAGTTATGAAGTATGATTGAAATTAATACTTGACTTTGAATGAATAAATCATTTATAAATTTATATCAAAATAGAGGTTGTATCACGAGATTTTATTTTTTCTTTTTGTCGAAGTAATAGGATTTTCTTATTGTACATAAGCAGTTACTGAAAACGATGTTGATAATTTTTTTATTTTTTACTTTTTAATGACATATTTCTCAACAAAAAAAAAATTAAAAATTTTTAAAAAAAATCCTTGAAAAAATATCTACCTAACAAATGCTAAATTTTAAACCACTGCTTATATATTTGGTAATTTATTCATAAGCAGCTTATAAAAATGAAGAAAGAAGGTCATTGTTCTAACTCGTTCAAATCTATTTGGAAACAAGAACTTTTTTAAAATGATAATACTCCAAGTGGCATGTTTTATTTATAACAATAATAATATAAAGTGCAGATTTAGGAGAGGCCAAACCTGGCTTTATAACTAAGACAATGTAAAATTTAAGGAATTACACTACATGCCTGAACTGAAGCAATTAACCTAGTTATGCTATGTGCTTCCATAATGATAATTTATTCCCTTAGCTACCACAGTTAATATTTAAGGAGAAACTGATCATTATTTTAGGAGACTATATTCGAAACGACTAGAAAATTGGCATGCAAGATTCGAAAGTCGAGTCGTGTGTAGTCTCTTATTCAACTTTTTCCCTCACTCTTTGACAGAAATAACTGGATCTAGAACAATAGGAGCAGTACTCGGTTTTTCAAAAATGGCTTCAAGATCCTTCGATTCACCTCCCAAATAATCATTAAGAAATGCAACCACAATTCCTCCGACAGCCCTTCTCATATCTTCCTTTGAACCCTTGCCACTTTTACACGCCCAACTTGCTAAAGAGGCCTTGGATTCATCCAACATATCACAATGCCCATATTCCTTTGCAAGAAAGTAACAAGAAGGAGGTTTACTCTCGTTAAAAAACTCTGCGTGATTGACTCCGTCTGGAGCAAAAGGTGGGATAATGCCCGTCGATTGGTCCCCTAAGCCCGTACCTGTTGAAAAATTTAATCGAATAAACTTATTCTTCAAGGACTTAAACTTTTAGATTTTCTCTAGTTCAATAGTACCTATTATTCCAATAGGAATTTCAAGATCCAAAGTGCGCGGGACGTAGGTGAGGATTTTGGGTTGCGCCCGGTTAGAAGGTGACTGGCCATCAACAGGGTCGATCCCTAGTATTGCCGAGAATTTGAGACTTGTTGGGGCATGGCCTAATGCAAGGGCAAATGCTACCTTACCACCTCTGCTGTGGCCAGATAGCGCGAGCTTGGTGAGATCGGGTTTGACCTTTTCTTTCAGCACTTGTGAAAGGCCCGTCGATAGCCAGTCAGTTACCTTGGCTGCTATCTCCGTTTCTTTCGTCGGGGAGATTAACATATAATGGTAAAACTGCGAGGAAGGACAAATAGTAGGAAAACATTACATACAGCATAGGCAAACATGTTTTACGCATGTAACTTGCACGTAATATTGTACAACAATATTTAACGTGACCAAAGATTAAATATTCCAAAAGAGTAACAAGCCTTAAAGAAATTAGCTCTTTCTTGATTTCGTTATTTTCAATTAATTAATCCTACAAAATATTTACCACGAGAGAAATTCCTGACATTTCTTTTGACAGCCTTAGATTCATACGTGTGTCAACATGAATTGCACGAAATATTCGACTCCTAAAAAGTTCATGAAATCCTCTAGACAACAAGAGACGGTGAATTATCCATAGAAATATTAGAATTCTTGTTAGATCGAATATTCTAGACTTTTGGACAGTACAATAAATAAAAGTCTAACTTTTTTCTTTCTTGATATTATCCATTAATATTCGATTCCCTGAAAATATTATTAAAATTTTAGATTAGATTGATCAGCATAATATGAAAACGTGTCAAGATTTTCGGATCAAGTCTTGCAATAGCCCATTTCCTGAATACCGTACACGTATCCGTCATTTTGTTGGAAAAAAGAATCCGATCTCGTGCAAGTAATATACCTCTCTACCAAAGAGAGTAGAGAAAGAGAAATACCTGAGGCGCGACAACAATGTAACCATGGGAAGATATATGTTGCAGAAGTTGAGAATACCAAGTGTTGTCGATGCAAAATCCATGACAAAAAAGTAGCACCGGGTACGTATTTTCTTCAACTGGCGCAACGATGAACAGTTGCGTAGGTGGTGAAGACAAGTCCGACGTTTTAATGGTGAACGACTTCACCTTCACAGATCCTTGATCAAACACAGAAGATATACTTGTGGCTAAAGCCATTATTTCCTCCTCTGAGTTTTGTGTGAATGAAAAATGAAGCCATGTCCTTGCAATTTATAATTCCTAGGACAACATGATTATAACAGTTACGAACCAGCATTAATTAGACTGAAAACCCAATTTAAATTTTGCGCTCAATCTTAAAGGTTGAACCCTAATTTTAAGGATCTCTCACCGTCCCTGTTCTGAAGCATCGTGAGGAAGGTAAATCGCAGGTTATGCCTTTAAAGGTACAGGGTGGAAGGCTGCTTGTACACTTGCACTTACCCAAAAATCAAATCCATATTTCAGGATTAGAACCCTTGACGCGACAGTTTCAAGCAAAGCTGGATTTTTCCACCCTCCCCTTTTACTACGCAGGGACAGATCTAGACACTTTAGATTAGGGGATCACAATCAAACTTTCAAGTAAATGAAGTTAGTAGTAGTCAACAGATTGGAAAAGAGAGAGAGGGCGGAAGGTATAAAGTTGAGTTTGGAGCTATCGGTTGCATAATGCCCCCGTTTGGGCCCCATTTTGTGGAAAAATTAATGGGTGGAATAGTATTTTTTTTAAAAAGAGTGGTTGAAAAAAAAAAGTTTTCGATTTACGTGTAATATTATTTTATGGAAGTTCGTATAGTTGAAAATAGGAAAGAGAAAAATGAAATGTAATGAAATGAAAATTAATGAGGGCCAAATGGAGGCAATATATTTATAATGTAAGTTTTAAACTTAGACATTCTAAAAAAAATGCAGCAAAATAAAATAAAAAAGGCAGGAATTGGGAGGTCAATTGACCTATAAGACCCCAGGCCCGCCCCTGTTGATATGTAAATTACCATCCTCTAACACGTGCCTACATACTATTTTATCTAAATGTTGACTTGGTCGAAAAGTTTATGGCCTCGTTTAGTAGAGATTTTGAAAATTGATTTTTTGACCGTTAGAAGAAAAGTGGGGTCCACATGTGAGAGAAGAAGTCAAAAATTACAGCTTGAATAGTAAAATAATAATCAAAAAATCAATTTTTTAGGGCAAAAAATCCCTACCAAACGGGACCTATATTTGTTACAGTTGATAAGTATTTATTCATTTAAATTTAGAATTCAACATGTCCCCTTATCTTTCAAAATGTATAAAACTGAGAAGTTAAAAGTTTATCACTATCATAGTCACCTTACGTAGTATACATATAGCGATTACTGATTTGATATATTAATGTGGTACATCAAATCACTAATCGTCACATATATGTCACATAAGACAATTGTGGTAGTGAGCGATTACAAATAACATTATTCTAAAAGAAATACTAGAAAAAGAAAGGAACTTTTAACTAAAATATTTTAAAACAATGACTAGGAATTACATGAGTTTTGTTGTCTTCTTCAATTAAGAATTAATTTACAATGTTCTAACAGCAGCACACATAAACATATCATTTTGATATGTCGGATCACATTTCTAGTTTCATACATAAAACAGCACAAATCTTCTATAATTGTTGCTAGCTTTTGCAACATAGTTAAAAAGTCTAAGATGGCAGCACAAATTGGATAAAATGCAGAATAATTAAGCGATGAATAGGCATTTATGTAATAGTAGTCACTGTTATTTTGTTTGATAAATAAAAATAGGAAAATTGTTGCGTAAATCCACAAATATTCCTAATATTTCCTTTAATGGACCGTTGATCCTTTTGGATGTTTGCCGTCCAATTGATGACCTATAAAAAGGTAAAACTTTTGATATAATAAAATGTTCTTATTTTCATGAAATAAATAAAATGAAGCAGATAAAAGGAAAACTAAAACAATGATTCAAAAAGAATAGTTGACTAATCTTACCAATCAATCCCCTATAAGAGCATTTGTAATGAAAATGTAGAGAGCTGTGCTGCTGGTGCAATAACCAATTTGACAGAATGGGTACAGATCACTCACACTTGGTGAGGTTGGGTGAATTTCTAGGCATTTTTAAATCATAGCAGGGGTCCACACATGTGACTGTTTGGTAGCATTATGTGAGTGAACAGTTCTATACAAATGATTTATTCCAAATGTAGATTACTAAATGCTTAATAATAATAATAAATCTATCTAGTAAAAGTTAATAAGAACTCCATAAAGATGATGTGACATAAAAGATAGATATTTTCGAAAAATTTGTCTAGATTTAAAAGCTTCGTTAGGCATGCTAACTCGGCAAAATATATAGATGACATATATATCTAATTTTATTATTATTTTAAAGAAAAAATAAAAGGTGCATACATAGCATTGATCAATGGAATGCATTGGATACTAATTTTGAACTTGAGTGTCTACACATTAAACATCAATATCACATAGATTGAAAGTCCTTCAACTTCCATCTTAGTGACGAAGTTGTTATCAACTTGAATTAGAGGTATTTTTTATAGTACCTTCCATTTCATTTATATGACAATTCTTAAAGCAATCCATAGTAGTAAAGAAGGTGCTCTTATGAGATATTGGTTGGCTTAATGAGTTTTCTTTTCTTTTTTGCACACCTATTAACTTATATTTTCCATTTACTTTATTTTTTAATTATTTTATTTATTTAACTAAAAGTAAGAGCATCTTAGTCTATTTATCAAAAATTGGACATATTTAATTGTCAATTGAATGGAAACCATTCGAAAGGACTAACTTCACCTATTAATTGAAAGGTCAGTCATGTTTGTACCAAGATTTAAATATTAGGGACCATTTGCACAACAACCATATACAGAATACACATGACTGGAAGTACTCTAAAATATGGCAAAAAATCTTGAAATTCAATTGATGTGAAAGGAGTGCCTAAATTTATCTAGTAGTGGGCTAGCAGCTTTGAAGGTGGAAAACAACGTTTGAGAGGCAATTAAACAAGCTGAAAAACCCTGCAAATAAAATTGAGAGAGGGAGTAGCACCAGTCTAGTAGAAATTCTCATTTTAATTTGTAGAGAAATTGTGACGGTTATTTTTCAGTTTGAGTTTGAGAGGCATTTATGACAAGAAATCAAATATGGCAGCCGCAATATTGGATCAATTTAGGGTAGAATGACCATTTTGCCCTAACCAGTTAAATCATTGTTTATGATGAATATGCAATTTAGGTATTTCACCGGTAGATCGTCAAACATTGCTGTTAACGTGGGCCCCATATGCCAATGGGTAACGATCAGATAATTGCTTAAAATCAACAAAAAACACTACCAGACAGCCCTGTAGCAACCAAGAAAAGTTGTAAGGGTTGTAAGTACCTGTTTGACAATCATTCTTATCATTTTTTTTCCTCGTACTCATTTTTAATCCTACATTCTCGTAATAAAATATACTTCATGTAAACTTAAAACTTTTTTTTACTTTTTAACCATACATTCTCACAAAATTTACTATTCAAAAAACTCATTCTTTCCAAAACAAAATTCTATAAAACCGAGGCTAAGTTAAAAATCTATTCTCTATTATTTATGCTTTTTTGCTGACTTCATCAAAATCCCATCTCATCACACTTAGACATATGGTCATAGATTTATGAGATATTTAATTGGGATTTTTAAAAACTTTTAAAAATTTAAAAAGTCGGGGGTATTCTATGTGGGCTTTTTAAAATTCTCTAAAATATTAGTGTATTCAATAGAAATTTTTATATATTTTTAAAATTTTTTTAAAAGTTTCAGCATAACCAATTAAAACTTCTTTGAAGTTTCAAGAAGTTATGATGTATTCAAAATGTCAATGACTTTTAAAAAAATTTATAAAAATTTATAGGGTACTAACTTTTAAACAGAAAGTAAAAAAAATAAAATCTCAAAATTTTGTTCTCTTATTCACCTCTAGATTTTGGAAGACTTTTACAAAATAATAATAATAAATAAATAAATAATACTTATTTTTTATCCTTTCAGTAATTTTTTGTCCCCTTCTCTTCTACAAACCTAGAGCCGTGATTAAAAAATATATTATAAGTTTACGGAAGACTCTCACTAATTTTTTACAAATTTATAAAAATATTCACAAATTCCATAAAAGTTAATCACTTAAAAAAGTCGACAAGATTCTTTAGAAATCTCAATTTATAATGGGCGGTCCCTCTCAAAAAGAAATTTCGGCAACCATTTTATGACATCAGAAAATTAAGGGAATGATTTGACAGATACATCGACAGGAATCAGTTTGCAGAAAATCGAAAAATATGGGACTAATTTACAGAATCCTAAGAACCCAAGGGCCTAATTGCAGGATATAGAGAAATCAATCCAAAAGGCACATAATCAAAATTAGCTTCCAAGTTCAATATGTCATAGAAAATCCAGTTAAAAGTTTCATTAATGGATCGACTAAAAAGGCCAAAAGACAACTTTCAATATCTTAAAATATTTATATCTAAATCTAGAGATACGTTACATTTTTTTAGCTTGCATTGTTTTTACTATGTCTTACATGTACTAATATTATTTTCAATGCATTTTAATACCTTAACTATTTGAAGCAATCAAATGAAGGCCACAATTTCAGCCACATGTAGTTGGTCGACGTACAATAAATATCTAACCAAACGAGGTTGAACATATTATGTTGAGTCATGTTGAATTCCACAAGGCACAGGTGTTTGGAAGTCATTTTTATGTAAAAATGTATTTTTGAATAGTAAATTGATAGAAAATGTGTGGTTGAAAAATAATGAAATATTTTTGATTTATGTGTAATATTGTCCTTATTTGAGCCTCATTCTTTTTATAAAAATGCATTTTTAAATAGTGAATTGATGGAAAATATGTGGTTAAAAAATAAGGAAAAGTTTTAAATTTACGTATAATATTATTTTATTGAAAAATATTTAGTTAAAATGATGTCAAAATACTGTTTAAGAATGTATTTTTTCAAAAGAATTGAGATAAATATGAGTATTATTTTAATAAAGAATGTGTAGTTAAAAAGAAGATTGAGAAAAATGTATTCTGAAAAATATGGGTACCAAACCGCTCCCATGTTCGGTCACTTCCATTTTTTTAGCTTGCATTGTTTTTACCATGTCTTACATGTACTAATATT